TAGGTGCTATAGTATCTCATCGAAGCTGCCAATTTCGACTTCGGTGAACGCAAGAGCATTTTCACGTTCGGCTGCATTCATAGGATACGTTGCATTTTGACTAGACGCCATGCAGTTTTTATTTTGCGCTGAGATTTTTGAGGTGTTAACGCAGATTTGATTGTTTCGAATTATGAGCGCAACGGAATCTCAATTATTTAGTCATTACAGTGGCATTATGATGCAAGTTTCAAATTCATTCGCTGAGATGTATTTTAATGGGGCATGTATATTAATATACAAAACGTTGCCGTTTATGCTGCGGAGAAAGCCACATGGTCTCCCGAAGAGAGAAGGCATGAGCATGTGTTGCTCACTAGATAAACAATATATATTTACGGCAGATAAATATATAAAGAAAGATAAACGATATTTTCTTAATGGTTAACTATATATATAATGATAAATATAGATCGTTTATATTTTAGATGAACGATATATATTTATAATGATTCGGATGGACGATTTTTGTGTCACTGTTGTCAAACATAGCCACAAATACTGAGAAAATATTTATGGTACTAATTCAAAATGTTCTCAATTTGTGTTCACAATAAACTACTTGCTTAATGTGTAGTAATGGCGAGCACGATCATTGTATGAGATTCTTATCATGGACGAACATGTTAAGTTTATACGAGATTGTTATGCTAGACTGACAAATTAAAATATATGTTCTACTTCTGGTGTTCTCATACTCACTGAGTAGCGGGCCAATGTTCAATGATCATGCAGATTACGTACGAACACAAAACTCACAATTTTTTGAACAATCAGTCAAAAAATAATAAACAATGACTAGATCTATGCTGTCTAAATCATTATTATTAATACTTCCGTATTTCATATCAGCTAGATTAATTCCATTAATTGTTTACCGAATTCACAAATTATGCGTAAAAATAAGCAGGAGTCAAAGACACGGCGAGAAATTGCAACAAAAGGTTTGCATCCTCACGCACGAAATGAATATATTACAGGAATATATTACACGTATTGTGTTTGGCAAATCCGTTGCATCTAATTTTGAAAATCTTTAATTTGAATTTACACGGGAAAAATTCGTGTATGTTTGATCAAGCTCAATTGGTTTGACTACGATCAATTGTTAATTATAACCCACGGTCACAAACTCAAGCTTACAAGCTTAGAAGCAAAGTGAGCACACAGCAGAGTAAAGAAAAAAGAAAATGTAAGAAGATGTAGAAAAAATTCACAAATCATCTAAAATCTAAACCTTCGACCATGGCCCATGAAATAATGATATGAGGTGTGACGTTCATTGGTTTGATACCAGGAACCCAAAACGAATGCCCTCCTCTAATGTGTCTAAATGAGACAATGCCAGTCACTTAGAAATTATGGGAAAATGGTGCGGGTCGAAGGCTATAGGAAGACAATTAATTCAGTGCGGGGCGCCAGGGGGCAATCAGTCGAGTTTACTGAGCAAACAAGCGTCCGACGCCCGACCAGTAATGGTCTTAAGATCCCAGATGGACTCTCCTCGTTTGGAGCTCTCGTGCAATGAGCAGAGCCATTCACTTCTCGGATTTATCGCTCCCATCAACGTATGGAATCTTCGACTGTAGTTTCACGCTGAGATCTTAGGCGAAACGAAGCAATTATTTAAAAAATATAACTCAGTACTCATTGCAGTGAGTGACAGAGAGCGCATTTTCTCGTCGACGAAAATGTAAAGTCACGGACGGACAGACAGACAGACAGACGGACGGACAGACAGACGGACGGACATGGCGAGCACAATAGCGCCTTTTTTCCATATATGAGAAAATGCGCCTAAAAAAGGAATTCTTATTAACAATACCACACAATAGTACGTAATATTTTTTTGTTATCCGGTAATAAAATTGAACACTGCCAATCCTTAGACGTACGCATTGAGTGCTGCTTCACATAAATGAAATGTGTGTATTTTATCAACTTCTTTGAAAATTTTGTTCCTAATTTTATTGTTAACATTCTTCCTTACACATAAGTTGAATGAGATGAAATTACAGACTAATAATTAATTGTAAGGCAGTGTTTTGCTTGAACTGCAGCAGCCGCAACACCTGTGCTTGAAACCCCACCTCATGTCAAACAATAATATTATTATTCTTGAAATGAATTCCGTCGGTCACTCTATGTTTTTGCGATGCTTATCGCTCAATATCAACATTTGTGTTGTCATACATCGATCTAGTGTCAGAAGATGCGCAAATACTGTCGGCGGGCTGTTAGCAGCTCGTAAAGTCTTTTCTAATAGTCAGATGTCAGCCGAGTCGTACATAGCAATGAAATGCCCGAAAAGCTCGTCATACTAGCCGTGTTATTTATTCTTCAGTTTGAAGTAGTTTCTCATACCGTCTCATGGTAAAATGTATAATATAAGTGTGAATACTATCTTGATAAAAAAAATTTTATATCAAGAAAATTTATTTCCGGCATTCAGGTGGAGTTCTTATCACAATCTAGACAGACTTTTCTCCAGTTTATCGAACGATCAGTTGTTGAGGAAGACTTGCCGTCTATCACAGTCGGAACAGCAAGAGATGGACATTTCAAGCTGCAAGGGGAGCTTTTGATTGAAATTTTGAAAAAGTCATTCGAGGGGCGCTATGGCAAACACTCTAGTGCAGTAGACTGTCCGTCTTTCTATTGAGCTTCGACTACGAAAATCCGGCAGGACCTTTTTTAATATGCATGAGAATGCAAAGAAAACGACAGGGAAAGGAAGTATGTTGAAGAACTGACGTATCGAATTTCTGGAGGCAAATACAAAAGTTACACAGAGCTGGCAAAACTGGAAGACAAGTCAATTGGATCGGGCGAAGTTTTCAGTATCGGGCGTGTTTCCCTCCATTGCCGAAGAAAGAAATGCTTCACTGAGCAAGTAAAATTGAAGTGAACGGGCTCTATACAAGTGCTTCAATACTCACAAGTTTATCACTTTAACGGCTTGATATTTTTGTGTCGTTTCTGATTTTTCAAGGACTTTCAACTTGCGTTCATTCATAATTGTTTCAAACCTTCTGAATGAAAAACGTAGAAATGAGTGTTTAATTTCTAATGAAGTTAGTATATTTACCTTGAGTTGAGTTTTAGGCCCATTTTAGACCTGCTTTGAAAAAGAGTTTAAAGTATATTTTGCAGTTGATTCCTTCATCAAATATGCATTTAATTACGACCATTTGTTAATTAAACTTTTTAATCCAAATAAGCATTTGCTTAGATTACATAGACGATGTATTGAAAGTTAGGAAAAATTTAAATCTAGTTTAGTGATAACTCGTTCTCCACTAAACAAAAATAAGTTAAAATGGTTGAAGGTTAAAGCCACACAAATCTAATTGTCCTGAGGATTGTGCCAAGAAACTTTAGAGTTTCCATATAAAATATGGAAATTAATAATTCTAATTAAATGAAGAGAGAGATCGCTCAACAATTCAGCGATTAATTAGTGCAGTGGATTAAAATACCGTAAATCAAATGAATGCAGCAAAAAAGTCCTACTATATGACTAAGATGACTTGACCTATAACTGCAAGTGGGCATGTGAATAGAAATTAAGAATACGCGCATTGTGGCAAGGAATTTTCTACGTACGTCCTTAATGATATAGAGGAGGAAACGTAGCTGAAATGTACCTGCTTAATTGATGATGAAATCATTAGGGCTGAAATGTACCTGTTTAATTAGTGATAAAATTATCAGAGCTGAAATGTGCCTGATTAATTTGCGATGAAATCATCAGGGCTGAAAGGTACATACTTAATTAATGATGAAATTATTATAGGGCTGAAATGTACCTGTTTAATTAATGATTAAATCATCAGGGCAGAAATGTAACTGCTTGATTAGTGATAAAATCTTCAGGGCTGAATTGTAACTGCTTGATTAGTGATGAAATAATCAGGGCTGAAATGCTCCTGCTTGATTAGCGATGAAATCATCAAGGCAATCAGCGGGCAGATTATCTAATGGCATTCACGAGACAGGGTCCTGACGACACCTCCTACGACGACGCTTGATTGCCTCCAGGCCGCTGCCTTGATTAGGCCTCACGCTGGTGTAGTTACTATAGGCAGGAGGCCTCACGCTGGTGTAGTTACTATAGGCAGGAGGCCTCACGCTGGTATAGTTACTATAGGCAGGAGGCCTCAAGCTGGTATAGTTACTATAGGCAGGAGGCCTCAAGCTGCTATAGTTGCTATAGGCAGGAGGCCTCACGCTGGTATAGTTACTATAGGCAGGAGCCCTCACGCTGGGATAGTTGCTATAGGCAGGAGGCTTCGCGCTGGTATAGTTACTATAGGCAGGAGGCTTCGCGCTGGTATATCACTATATAGATGTGTACATTCACTCATTATTTAGTTTGATGGTGCAGTGTAGAAGCATCAGTTCTGTTGTAATATTAAAATACAATTATTTAATTGTATTTTATTATTGTATTGTCGAACCACGCGCACGAAACTCGATTTTAAGTTAAGTTTGAAGTTTAAAAAAAGTTCCAAATTTCATATAGCTAATGTTCGGTAATCTGTAACCCAAACAAGAACTTCAAACGCAAATAACAGTGAAAAGAACAGTCAGTAGGCAAGGTTAATTTTGCTTAACCTTATTGCCGATATTTTAATTATATTCGTATTGAATTGTACGTTAATTGAAATCCTTTGATAAGTAGGGTTAGTCGTGGGTTCGAACGACGATCATTTGCTTGTATGGAAGGAAACAGTTGTGACTTTTAGTGATCCGGAAATTCCTAAACACCAACAATAATCTTAGAGATTTTTAAATTTATTCCACCAAACAGTATTATATAACATAAATCATGCATCACACTTCAATCATTTCGCAGAAAATAAAACGAAATCCTAAAAAGCAACCAAACACAGAAAATATTGTGGTCTAAAACACAATTTTTGAGAAACCACATCGATCGATCAAATACTTGACCATACTTGAATATTAAGCACTCAATAATCGACATTGACCTATTATTAAAAGTGAATAGTTCGCAAAACTTAGAGATGGGAAAAGTCAGTAGACGCTGAGTTTTGAGACGCATAAGTCAACAAAAAACACGCTGGAAATAAACAGTTAGATAACATCGAGGTTCATATTAATTCGAGTTTCTGAGATACAGTGCAAGTTACTATCACATGAATTGTCGCTTGGATGACTGAGCATAACTTGCTAGGACGGCAATCCTAAAGCGACGATATCAAAACAAAAAACACGATGGAAATAAACAGTCGGATAACATCAAGGTTTAAATTAATTTGAGTTTCTGAGATACAATGCTAGTTTCAATCACATAAATTGCCGCTAGGATGACTGAGCATAACTTGCTAGTACGGCAATCCGAGAGCGACGAGATCAATGGGAAAGCACTACAGGGCTTCGTCTCGTCCGCTTTAACGTAGAAGGTTCCGTCCATTAGGGTTTGCCCGACTTCACTCTCCTAGGAGCTCTCCATAATACCATCATCAAGACAAACAACGGCTCCGCAAAGACAATTAAAGACTGCCACAAGAAACGGGCCAAGACAGGCGTTGAGCCGACCAAGATTTCACCTAAGCCGCACTTATCCCAAACCAAAGCCGCGCCGACGGCACAAAATGAGAAAGACGGCGAATTTCGTCAACAATTGTCGCCATTCTTTCAAATGTGAACAAAAGCGTGCAAGATACTCAGAGCAAGACATGTGGTGCTGATGGTTTGATGACACTGGTGCGTCTTATAAATGTGTGTAATTGTTAAACAAATGTAATTGGGGAACTTTTCAATTGCAGGACCCGAAATAATGTGCGATTTTTTTCATATCATTTTTTACAAGTTTTCAGGTTTATCGACATTTCAACTATGTAGTTCACACAAGTGATCGCAGACTGCATTTTTATACGCTTGCGACAGATGTTAATTGATCATTATAAATCTATTGATATATGAAAACGACAATTAATTTCCTTATAAACTTCTATGTTCGCCGAAAGAAGAGAATATTTTTTTTTAGAATTAAGCCCTCGCTGAACAAACATGAGTATTAGTCATCCAAAAGATGCAATCTAAAGTTACAGAAATACTATTCATAAAAGTTTTTCGTTCACTGAGGCAATGGAAAATTTCATATTTCATCGTAATATAATTAAATAAATATTTTATATAATTAAACATATAATATAATATAATTAAACAACTATTAAAAATATAAATACAAATGCCGGCATAAAAAAACGTTATTAAAGCTGCAAACTGCCTGCAGAAATATTCACGGATGAATTATTTTCATTATTGAATGAATTTTTAATTGTTAATGAATTTTAATGAATTTTTATTATTATTAGGCCATTCATCAAATTGTTAATGCAGCCATTCTTCTTACTGTTCTGAAACGCAGTATATTTCAGTTTTTTTGTTACATTTTTGTCAATGAACATATTTGTGTCCCAATCCAATAGTATATATTTAATCTAAATTAATTTTAATAATTTGATATAATAATCTAATAATCACTTGCCATATTTAATCTAATTCAATTTTAGTTACTTAATCTAATAATCTAAAAACCATTTGCCATATTTAATCTAATTTAATTTAATAATTTAATATAATAATCTAACAATCACCATCAGCAAGTGCATTAAGTGTACGTGGTTAATGCGAGGGAAATTGGTATTAACAGTTGCATGACTCATCGCCCACCNTATACCGAGCAGTTGGCGGGGGGGGGACTCTGTGTAGGATCAATGAAAAGTTTTATTTGAGCATAAAATATATTGGTAAAAAGATTAATTATATATTACTAGTAACTTTTTAGTCCATATCTACAAATTTTAAAAATAGTGGACATATACCGAGCAGTTGGCGGGGGGGGGACTCTGTGTAAGATGAAGGAAAAGTTTTATTTGAGCATAAAATATGTTAATAAATAGATTAATTATATATTATTAGTCTCTTTTAGTCCATATCTACAAATTTTTTAAATAGTGGACATATACCAAGCAGTTGGCGGGGGTACCTCGGGTGACTCTGTGTAAGATGAAGGAAAAGTTTTATTTATTTATTTATTAAAGAAAAGTGGTTACCCCGATGGCTCGAGGAAAAGCTCCACATTGAATTAAAAAAATTAAGTATACGATCACACATACATATACATACACATACATACATATACATACAGGTTCCGTCCATTAGGGTTTGCCCGACTACACTCTCCTAGGAGTGAGATCAAAATATGTTGGTAAGAAGATTATTAATATATTACTCGTAACTTTTTGTCCATATCTACAAATTTTTTAAATAATGGACCATAATGAAAATATTAATGGCAATAATGGACAATATTGAATACAGAACTTTATTGTTATTGGTTTACAAAATATTCCATTTTTATTTTCAGCTCCTACTGCTGAAACCTGCGTGTAGAGATAAAAATCTCGCTCTTTACTTATACAATATCTGAAATAAACTAGGGAAACTAGCAGTGACCGAGCTAAGATGTCTAGTTCGCTTAAATTTTAATTTCTTTGTGAGTGAAAATATCGAAATTGAAACATTGTCCCAATAATTTCATAATTTCACAATTTTCAATGTCGACAATTTTTATTTATTTGTATTATTATTTTTAGCGCATTTTCTCATCTATGGAAAAAATGCATTATTGTGCTCGCCATGTCCGTCCGTCCGTCCGTCTGTCCGTCCGTCGTCTGTCCGTCCGTCGTCTGTCCGTCCGTGACTTCACGTTTCGTCGATGAGAAAATGCGCTCTCTGTCACTCACAGCAGTGAGTACTGAGTTATATTTTTTAAAATAATTTTAAATAAATTTCACTTAATTTTTTAGATGTCTCGAATTAGAAGAGACTTGCCAGTTCAGTCTTCTTGTACTGGCGTTGAAAAATAAGCTCGTTTCAGACTGCGGTATAAAGCGGGGATTTATTGTCTTCAACTTGAGACTGAGCTCGTCTCGAAGCTTCTAGGGAGCCTCGACATGCACGCTCAATTACCGAACTTTTAAACATCACTTGCGGTGTTCGTGAGAGAAAAGAATCACTAGGTAATAAACTTGAGATATTAAAACTAAAGAACGCCATTCCCAAACCGTCCGCATCGCCTTAGTGGCTCTCTAAACTTCTTACTTAGAAGTTTATAAAAAATTCTGCTACACGCTCACAGGCGTCCAAACTTTTTTCTAGCGGCAAGTCGAATAAACTTTTGGACGCGATTAGTGTCTTAGAAGATCAGATTATGATGTGCGCTATTCTTGCGCAGTGGAAGCACTGTTCACAACAATAAACTTTAATAATAATTTAATAATAAATTTTAATGAAAATTTTGTATGAGAAATTTTTATGAGAATTTTTATGAGAAATTTACATTTTTATGAGAAATTTTTATGAGAAATGCAGGAAATTTAATAACAAACACTGTTCACAACAATAAACTTTAATAATAATATAATAATAAATTTTTATGAGAAATTTTGTGAGAATTTTTATGAGAAATTTAAATTTTTATGAGAAATGCAGGAAATTTAATAACAAACACTGTTCACAACAATAAACTTTAATAATAATTTAATAATAAATTTGTATGAAAAATTTTATGAAAATTTTTTATGAGAAATGCAGGAAATTTAATAATAAATACTGTTCACAACAATAAACTTTTGGACGCGATTAGTGTCTTAGAAGATCAGATTCTGATGTGTGCTATTCTTGCGCAGCGGAAGCGAGGAGGTCTGCGGCTTTGCAGTGTACGTCGCCATGCAGGTCGTAGAATTTATAGTCGCATGCGGAAACATATCACGGGTATACCCAAAATTCAACTGTTATAATAAGGCAATAAATGTTATTTAATAAAGTTGAACACTAAAATACTAACATGAGTGTCCCCGAAAGTGAACTGTTATAATAGGGTAATGAATGTTATTTAATAAGGTTGAACACTATATAAAAAACTAACATGCGTATCTCCGAAAGTAAACTATTATAGTCAATCAATAGTTGTTACTTATTCAAGACAAGCACAAAAAGACAAGTTTGGACGCACATTAAGATGAAAATCTCGGGTAAGAACTGATTTCCACAATAAATATTTCCATAGAATAACTTACAACTTTATATCGACATCTGACCATAATATGAATACTTTGCTTTACTTCACCTCTCTTAATGTCATCTTTGTAGTGCTACTGATTTCTTTATAAGTAATAAGTCTTTGTATCAGTGTGCGCCGACAGTGCCAAACCTTGCTCCGAAATAAAAAATGAACACGTCAAACTTTATTTATGCATTGACAATCTAAGTATTGAGATTATTTGCTTGCTTAAGTTACAAATTAAACATTTAAGTTCAGAAGCGAATAATGCGCAACGTAAATTCATACCGTTCTCCTTATAACGTTTTGAAGGCAAGATTCTTCATCAGTTCGTAGTTCGTGATTCACGTATACCGAATTTGTACGAATACACTGTAAAATGGAACCTAAATACTCAGATGACAATTAAAAGACATATTTCGCTAATAAATTTCAATCGAAGAACTGACTATCCACTTAATAATATAAAGTTATAATGTGAAAACATGAAGAGATCATCGGATCCTCAAATTGGGAGTAGCGGAGGTGAAAACCAAATTTTTAAAGCACTCCGGAAACAGATCTGAACGTCGTATTATTATTTCTTCGTATTTTCCTTGAAATTATTCCGATACAAGCATGCCGTGTTCCATGCTGAATGCCTGCATGCTAAACTTGGGAAGAGACTCGTTGGCGATAGTTGCCGTGCCACTGCAAGATCTCATTAAATAACCAGCATTCAATCATCATGGACTTGTCATCATCTGCCTGCGAATGAGAATTTATTTGGTATTTTTCAAGTACCCTACGAAGCCTATTTACATTGGTACCATAAGAAGCCTATTTATATTGGTACCCTACGAACTCTATTTATATTAGTCCCATACTAACCCTGT